ACTACTACTACTACTACGATGATGACGATGACGATTCTTACCATGACTACCACCACCAGCGTCAGCATCATCAAGGCATCAACAACAACACGATCTCCCGCCGGAAGTCCCCAGCAGCATCACCAGCCCTCTTCGCAAAGCTAGACCCTTGCAATGAGATGCAAAACCCTAGAGATTCAAAGGTATGGGGTGCATCCCGGACACGAGCTAGAGACCAACACTTTTGAGGATATATACGGAGGTTTTGGGTTTAGGAAGCGGCTGCGAAGCTGTGTTCCCTTGTGAGCAGGCATGTTTGCAGCGGCAGTGTGCTAAAGCTGGTCAGAAGACCAGAACGTATCCAAGACAAAACTCAGATGTACATAACCTTCTAGCCCAAGTGAAACTCTAAACACCAAGACAGATACTCCTGCCGGGTCGGAATCATGCCAAACCTACATCCCTCCGGCCCGGTGTGACGGCGCACCTCTCTGCGGCATACGAGGACGATTGCTCACATCATGGGGCGGACAGGCATGTCTCTCACTTGCGTGCGGCGGAAGTACTCGTCCATCCTTGAATTTCAAGATAATTTCAGATAGAATGTTTGAAGATGCTACAGCGGCCAGCGTTTCTCGAATTACAAACGCACGGTAGAGTTCAAGCTGTTGCTTGTATTCTATGGTTCGATGTTCGGTGGGAGTGCGCGGCGAACCACTGGAATAAGGGATTTTGTGATAGACTGTTTGCGCTTTTGTTCAGGACAAGCAGGGAGATTCTCTACAACAGGGATTCCATTGTAAGGCCGTCTTTGGACCTGCACGTGAAAAAAGGAACTTTTGCTCAAGACTGTCCAGGCAACGCCTCCAGGCCTTGCAGCTTTGCAGGGGCGACTTCTACTTGCTTAGTGCTCCGGCGGCCGGGGAAACGGTAGCCGCATATGGCCTTTTTGAAGTGCTCGGCAGTTCCCAGCACCCGAAAGTTGATAAAAGCGTAACCGATTCCCTGACGATGGCGCCGATTCATGGGGAGGTAGAAAAAGTTGTACATGCCCTTGAAACCCAAGGAATCGACGGCACGGAGCACCTCACTTGCGTCGCAGCGGCACGGGATGTTCTTGATCATGACAGTGTGGACCGATGCCAAATCCCCGCTCTTTTCGTTCCGGGATGCCACTGTTGGTGAGTCTGTCATGCTGTCTTGACTGCATGTGCTCATCGCGCCCACCGTGCTCTGTTGGGTTGTCTGCCTGTCGAATTCCTCATGCGGCGCATCGAGCCACTGGCAGTCTGTGCTCGCGGTGCCGTTGCTGATCTCGCGAGAGATTGGCTTTCCTGCTTCTTCTTCTTCACAGTCTTCACCTGAGCTCCAGCCCACAAGCCTCTTGCCTTTTGCTGTTCGATAGCTCCGCTTCGTGCAGGAAGTTAACATGCCCTAGAAGCGGCCGGACGCGGCATTCGGACTACAATCTCAAAACAGCAAACCAAACCTGAACCGGGTTGTGCCGCGACTCTCTTTGCAAGTCTAGCTGGAGCTCCTTCAGTGAGCCTGCCCTGCTTAGCCTTTCGTACATGAAGGCCCCAGCATGCACCCTGTAATTTAGCAAGGCCACCACCTGGTGACAGTCCAGTCGAACGAGGTGGAGCGCTCTGCGCCCGCCGGTGGGCTGGTTCCGTGTCGACGGCGTGGACACGCACCTCCACCCAAGATCGGTATCTTTAGGCCTTAAAAGGTTCAAGGTCTAACGCACTCTATTCACTCCTTTCTTGCCAAATGGCTGAACCATAACGCCTCAAGCAAACTTTCACGGTGTCGGCACACTTGTTAAGATATGTTAAGATGGCACTTGTATGCGCGAGCGAAACAAACGCAAGTTAGTAGACATAGCCAGCCAAACACTGCTCTGAACAGTTAGAGGATAGTCACTATCACGAGTATTCAGACGGCCGTGGCACATCCAGAAAGCCATTCCGAGTAGCCAGCTCTGCTGTACCGTCGTAGAAAGACATTTGCAGCAGTTCCCAGGCCATGATGCTGCTAGTGTCCGTGGATCTGGATTGGGCACCTGCTCGGCACAAACCTTCGACCTGTGAGCTTTGAGCACAAAAGCTCGGCATCCGAGAATCTTAGAGTCTTAGAGTCGACGAGTTCGGATTAAAACTACCAGGACCAAGCCCCCTTCTATGTCTGAACATATATCTGACGTATCTGAACCCAAAGGGCCCTTTGACCTTAGACTTCCGCCCAAGCTCTGGAGACACCAAACCTTGAAGCGCAGCCTGAAGCCGGGAGCTCGTGGTAGAAAAATTAGCTGGATGGTACAGAGTCATAGAGTCTAAAGTCTAAAACTGCAGGGCCGTGCTCCACGGTTCACATCCAGGAGCTGACGCTGTGTCCAACCATGCAGTGCTCAGTTTTAAGGGGCGACACTTCAGCGATGCAATCGAACTTCTTAAGCAGAGATGTCTCCAAAGATTGCAACTTGGCTCCTCCTTTACCCTCCGACCCTAAAGTTCTAAAGCCCGACATGAGTCCATATGCCTTACTCTGACAGTGGCCTGACATCACGTAAGTGCCTCTGCAGTAGAGAAGGCGATTGCGTGGATCACCCTGATTGTAGCTTGACACTAAAACCTGGTACGAGGAAGATTCGTAAAGCACAGGAATGATTGTGTGGTAGAGTGTGAAGTTGTCTTCACTTTGCACCGTCTCCAAATCAGATGATTCTTGCCGAGTCCTCTTCGGTAGCGGCACCATAATGCGCTGACGTGGCGGCCTTGATTGGATTGACGCGCAAACCTAACCTGCCGTACCTGTGCGACCAAGATCAAAAGCAAGTCTCCCGTGAGCCATAAGGCCCCGAAAACTGAAGAGGGTAGCTATCCAGCTTCTGAAGCTTCTTCTCGAAAACCGTCGCTCTTTGAAGCTTGAACTTCAGGGCGTGTCTTTATTCCCGGCGGCACCAAATCTAACCCTGCCACTGAATCCTGAAGAAACTGACTTGCTGTTCATGAACCAGAAAAAACCAAAGCGAACTTCAACAGATATGTGACTGAGTCACCCCACCTCACCCCACCCCACCCAGCCAGGCCATGCAGCCCGCGCCGCCCCGAAGTTGAGACCCAAAATCGTGGTGCAATCAGACTCCCTACGACGACCATTAACCTGCAACACCGTAGCTGATGGCTGAGGGCTGTCACTAAAGTTCTCACGACTCGCACTTCGTCTCTCGGTTCGCAGAGCCATTCTTTGATAGCACATGTGAGCAGGCAGTACAGGTACAAATGCAAACTACCAGGCCATGATGTCATCACGAGGAGCCTAATCTAAGGATGAGTGTCCTCTTGTAGTTGAGCGGAACCCTTGCTAGTAGCACACTTTTAACTCTCCATCAAATTCAGACCCTGCTAGGAAAGTGCTGTCACTTTCTCCCTGGTAAAGAGACTTGCCCTAAACCCTAAACTTATGCATAACCTAGTCGCTGGATCACGGTGCGGGTGGGCGACGGGGAACCAACCTTGGAAATGGCACATCGGAGGCGGACAGCATGTGGGGTTTCGACGGTGTTTTCAAGTTGAGGGTTGGAGTTGCACGGTGAAACTTGCTGGGTCGCTCACTGACTCGAGGTTGACTGCGAGTCTTAGCGCTCGACATATGCGTAGCTGGGGAGCTCAGTACAGCAGGTTTTGGTTTCGGAGTGTGCTCTTGAGTCACACCGCCATCGCACTGAGGGCCCCGGGGTTCTGGCAGAACCCTTGTCAACAAAAGACTATGTGTGAGCTCGTCCGCGAACTCCCTTGCCCCAGTGCAATACGACGGAATAACTCGACAGGCTCTTCACACACTATGACCGCACGATACAGGACATCATGTACCCCGTCAGAATGGCAAGCACATTGGGTTCCCGAAGTAACAGCAGCAACAAAAAGCCCAAGCAAACTAAGAACTAGGTCATGTGAGTCATGTGCGCATAACTTGCTTGGTTGTCTCCTGTACCTTGTAACACACTAAACCTTCAGCACAGTCTTCAGGGGAAAGTGGATTCATGGAAACTAGTTCGGCTCTACTCCAACCGCTCCGTTTCGTAGCACATTCACATCCTGAATTACGGGATGCCCATGGATACTCTAACCAACGGATGCACTGGCCGCGTGGACCATTAGGCATGGATGCGCACTACCGAACGACCGGATGCACCGGTGCCGTGGACGTAGTCATGGAGCATGGATGCCGCCACACAGACGAAGCTCAAATTTGCAGACGGCTTCGGGTCGAGGATCTGAATCTATGAACCTCCGACACCGTCGGAACATCTGTCGTCAGAATTCTGCTGCTTGCTCGAGGCCGAGACCAGTCGTGCCAAAGGGAACTCGCATGGCCTGCGCTGTCCGCAGGTTTTCTATGAACGTGATCAAGCCCCTGTAGGTCTTGAGGGTTAATTATACGGTTCTGCGGTCAGTAAGCATACAGTAAGTAATCGGACTACTTTGCAGGCAACTGGTATGCGAAGTCTTCTGTGCCGATTGCGGGATGGGTTTGCGTTTTCGTGTTGCCTGCCCACAGGGGCAGGGACAAGCGGCTTGCTGAACACAAGAACAACCACAGACCTTGCCTTGGCCGCTAGCCCGAAATGGGAAAGTAATCAAGCAAAAAACCCGATACCTGATTAAACCCCAAACTCCAAGCCTGAAAACCCTTCTGCCCTTGCCTTACTTACATCTCAAACCCACCTCGGAGATCGACCCCGGGCGACATTGGCCGCCTGAGTCTCAAAAGAACCGACGGAAGTTGACATAGGCGTTTGCGCAGCAGAGAACACCCCAATATACACCCGTCATGAATTATCGCTGCGTGAATGTGTCATGACGATCCCGTTTTTTTCATGGTTATTGTCATTTTGAGCAAGCACACATTATTGCCAATATGCGATTCTCATATACGATCTGGAGACTAGGGTGTCTCGTCTCTGGGATTTGTGGTGCGATTTCGGATTGAGATGTTTTGGGCCGGACTCCATCCTGGAATTCCGAGAGGGTACTGCAGCGCGGCTGTTCCATGCTAGGGTTCTGTGCGAAGTGCCTGTCATAAGGAGCTCCCCATAGTTCTCCAAGAAAGAGCAGGACCACAAGCAATAAATTCCCAAGCTGAAAAACTGATGTAGGGTTGCGGGTGTAGGGTTCCTGCCTGTATGAGAGTTTAAGACTGTCTATAGTGACTATATAGTCAGTATAGTGTCACAGCTGTCCCAGGAAACCTTGCTTCTGTCTGCTGCAGACGCTCTTTGCGACTGTTTTCCAGCAGCAGTGGTCTCGTCCGTTGAGACATCAAGGGCCTCCGACTATCTTCACAAACGACCGACTTCAAAGCAGCAGGCACGATGTACTAACTGCCTAACGAGCTGCGGATGCTGTGGAAACCCAATGCCGCACACTAGGGCTCAAGACTTTTGGCTTTGGGCTGAAGGGATTTCACCTATGCGATTCTCTGGAAGATATGGATACCCATCTCAGAGGACGCCAAATCACCTGCAGCGGAGCAGTTCGACGCTTGCCAAGGCAAAGAATTGTTAAGGCGGGTGTTGAAGTCGACTTGCAGGAGTTTTCAATTGCCATGATGCCCTCAAGCAGGGCCCATTCAATCCATGAAGGAGAGAACCTGATCGAAAACACAACCCCTGCGGCTCGCTTGGGTCTCGAGGATTTTGGCACTCTCGAACTAGCTTCTCCGCACATGCGGCACAAGTGCCATAAGTCATGACGTCAACCACACCCGCGCTTTTTCAAGTTTCCGTGTTGTGGCTAAAGCTTGGAAGGTGCGTGCAGGGTGTTCTCCACCAAAGATCTCAGAGTTCCAAACCGTCTTACATGAGCTGAATTCACATCCAACAAAACGGGCCCTGATCTGAATAAAGACTCACCTCGAGATTGAAGCGAAAGCTCAAAGATGTGACTACGGTCTTACAGAAGGTCCCGTAGCTTTTGCACCTTACAAGATCCGAGATACACAAGCAGCTCCATCCGCTCGGCATCACATAAGAAGCGAGGAAAAACTGTTAAGGCACATTATGGCATGTATACGGCAATGTGTTCAAACCTCTTATGCCCCTTCGTCTTGAGTTGGATCTCAGGGAAAAAAGCTTGCATTTTCGGCTTCTCTAGGGATCTGCACAGCTCTTGTGCTCAGTATCTCGGCCGCTTATAGATGTCGAATTAAGATGTTGGGCTGCCATGCTTCAAACACCACCCTAGACGCAACCGCAACCCCTTAGAAGCGCTCCACTGCTCCACTCCCGAAGACCACGGAACCACAAGACCCAGACCAATCGGACCCATGCCATAGAGCTCTAAACTGCAAAGCACCGCGGTCAAGAAGCATAAGGCTCAAACAGCCCTGAACACCTTTGCTATGCAGCCAACGTGCTCCATTGCCCTGGCTGAAGGTTCTTTGCGGCCTTCAGGGCGTAGGTGAGCCACGCGCTGCGCAAGCTAGGTTTACAGTTTGCAGTTGCAGCTTGACAGGGGAGGCGCGCTACATTACGCTGCCACCGTTGCGGCATGTACGGTACAGTCCAGAATGCCTGCGTTTTCAGAGCATGCATTACCATTCGCAACTCCTAACTGTAGTGTGCCCCTCGCTTGGCTCAGCATGACACCTTTATGAATCGATTCCAAGGACTTTCCTGGCAGAGGTCTAGCAAATTGCACCATCCAAAATTAGGATAAGGGTCTTTACAGTGCAAGCTGCTGCCAACATCCTTCTCACAATCCACTTCGACTTGCACCGAAAGCATGGGCCGTGCTGGGCGCCTGAATCTCATGACCTAAGCCCAGCCCGAAAACCCTGGAAGCCTCGGCCGGGAAACTAAAGCTCCTAAAGTCCCCAACGTCCAAGGTCCATGCAAGACCCCGACCCGCACCAACTGATCAACCCATCAAAGAGAATCGATCGAGCTCAAGGTCCTCTCCCCCTTCAGGCCCCCGGGGTAAAGACTTCGTAAAATGCATAGGCGAAGGAAATCACCTCAGAACCGCGCAAAGACGACCGAAACTAACATCTACACTCCTGATATGCCTCGGACAACGCTGGACCGAATCGGTTCTTGAGCTCGTCCGGCTGTAGCCACCCGAGGTCACCGATCCTTTAAGGCTTCAGGCTTTCAGCACTCACAACTGGGACAAGCCTGGCGAGGTTCCAAGTACATCGACGATAGCACATTGGCCAAAAGGCAGGCAGATTCACCGTGCCCATACTCACACTCAC